ACCAGCAGGACCTCAAGGGAGCGGTGCTGAATGGCAGTGGCAGCCTCTGGCTCCTTGATCACAGGCGCCCAGGCCCTGGCTGGCTGCTAGGAAGAGGTCCGAATGCCGCTCAGCTGCTGCCTCCGCTGGGAAGGTCTTAGGTCTTCGCTGCACAGCCTGGAGCCGCGTGGGGCCAGGCATAAGTGAACCACATAAAGGACCAGGCTCTGGCCACACTCGCCAGTCGCTGCTTCAACAGCCTCCTGGTGGGAGGCGTGACTGGTTTTTAAATCGGCTTTATGTTGGGGACCCCCTAAAACGAAGGTCATGGCCATCAGGGTCGGCTGAGCGCCAACCCCAGGGGCTGAGCATGCTGCCCTCACGTCCACTGTCGGCTCCTGTCTCCCTCCTGGGCCTGCGTCACCCTCACCAAAGGCAGCGCCACTCGGCCTGGGAGGCCCCTGGAAACCCCACCCCCGTCCCCCCCCACTGCCGGCGGATCCCGCAGGCTGGCTCCGCGGGAGGCGCATTCACCTGCCTGGCGTCCTGGAAGGCGAACTCCGTGGGCACCGCGTTGTGCTTCAGGTTCTTGCGGTTCCCAAAGGCGCTGAAGCACTCGGGGCGGAAGTGCTCCGAGCAGATGACCGTGTGCTGCTTGGGCTGGAAGTTGCCCCGCCCGATGTTCAGCACCCATTCCTTCAGCAGCTCGGGCCGGCTGAACGGGAACCTAAGGGCAGAGGAGGCAGCGGGAGGGAATCACAGGGTATCCAGACAACTGGGAAAGTCCAGTCACCGTGCGCTGTTACACCACATCCAGTTTCTGGAAGCTTCTGTCATGCTGTCTACAGCTTCCTTCGGAAACAGGAGACCATGAACGTGGCCAAAATGCTGTTTCCGAAGCTACGAGTGCCAGGTGAGCCTTCATCCGTCCCCCGGGGAGCCCGCCATGTGCGGGGCCTGCTGGGTGCTGCGGGGAGCAGCCAACGTTCCAGAACAGAGCAGACGGTAACACAGACGTAGGCTGTGTGGGAACAGAGGACGCGGTCAGGGGAGGCCACCTGAGAGCTCTCGTTTGAGCCGAGGTTGCTGGGAGCGGGAGCTCACGTGTGTGGGTATCAGAAGGGAAGGCAAGCGGCAGGCGTGTGCCCGGTGGTTAAAGGAGCGACCGGAGCAGATTTGGCTGGGACAGAGCAAGTGTGGGACCAAAGGACATGCGTCTCAGGCAGATGGGGTCCCTGGAGGCTCTGGACGGAGGGTGAGGACTGAGCCCAGCCCGGCGGCTGCAGGAGGGTAGGACTTGACAGAGAGCCCTTTTGGGGGGCGGCGGGGGCAAGAGTCTAGGCCAGGGGTGGGCAAACTTTTTGACTCAAGGGCCACAATGGGTTCTTAAACTGGACCGGAGGGCCGGAACAAAAGCATGGATGGAGTGTTTGTGTGAACTAATATAAATTCAAAGTAAACATCATTACATAAAAGGGTACGGTCTTTTTATTTTTTAGTTTTATTCATTTCAAACGGGCCGGATCCGGCCCCCGGGCTGTAGTTTGCCCACGGCTGGTCTAAGCCGACCGGGTTGGAGAGTGAACCGAAGGCAACTCCACCTGCAGGCATATACCTGAC